TTTTAGTTAACGTAATAATTAATTTAGTTTGTATCACGAAAGACATGGTGATGCCATTTTATTCTGTTCCGATTCTGCTATGGCTATCGATTTAATAATTGTTTAAACATGATATAGTTTAAATAAGACTTGAAGATATTGTTTGTTTCAACGCGCGTATTTCTGGAAGTACTAGTTCAATTTCAATGATTCCCTTTACATCTGACAGCTCCATTGTTGAGGAACAATGCTTAGAAAAAACCACAAATGATAATTTTAGATAAAATAGACGACCATTGAGAAATTATTACGATAACGTTAAATAACGCAATAATTATAATATGAGACATGTATATTTTATCTGCGATAAAATAACATCATTAAATGCACTTAAAAGTAAAAAGTGACATATGACACGCGCGGGAAAATACGCAAATGCACTATGGTTAGCTATTTCCGTATCCGATAAAACCTTGTGTTTGAAATTGGAGCTGTTATTAGTTCTTCAATGTTATAGATTTTTAATACAAGGCGAAAACACACCTTCCCGTAGTTACGGCGATTTCAGAGAACAATATTGAATTTTTAATTTTTCCGGAATCTTAAATAAAAATTTGCGCTTTTTAAATCGATTTTGACTATGTACAAGTGTGTACCTATTTAATAACACCAACCAATTATCTTCTGCTCATATGAATTAATTTGCATTGATCATTACGCCCGATAATTTCATGGCGACATCAGATGGCGATCTACTTAATTAAATCACAACTACACAACGTAATTCCCATGACATTCTTCCAATTTTGTACTAAATCTTTCAATACAATAAACTATAAAGTTAATCTAATACATTGTCACTCATATTTTAGGCATGGCAACATTAACCACAAAATACCGACCGACAGAATAACCAAACTGCTTAGAAGGTAACTCTTGTCCATCGACACTGGACAGTAAATTCAATCCGTAGGTATGTTACGCACATACAACCTCATAAATATTTCACAACCGATTTGAAAGGGAAACGAACTTACAAGGTACATTAGTCATACATACTTGACGAGAATATTGTTTCAAATTATTTTAGGGACATGCCTATTATAATAGACGAAAAACTTCCTTGTTTTGTTGTTTTTGGAAGGTATTGTAGAAGGTCAGTAAAGGGCATTGTAGAATACATTTGTTAGAATTTGTCTCCATTCCTACTCTTCAGCTCTTCACACAGATGCCGTAAGAGTCAACTAAGGGACTACACATTTGACAAAGACTAGGCAGCAGCACTGTCTGAGAAATCTATAACTTTTAAACCGTGAACTCCAAACCAAGGATGGCAAATTCTCTTATGTATAGGCCCATAATCGAGCTGTGGATTGTAGCGGGCTGTCGATGATGACTATCTTACTAACAAAGACTATTTAGTTTAGGCAATAACATCTCCGTAGTCTCTGGAGTTCGTGGTTGTATCGCATGCCTAATTAAAATGTAATTACTATTAAAATCCACTAGAACACGTCCACTGCTGAACTAAGACCTCTCTTAAGAGGGGTTTGCAATCATCTCCTCGCTCTACGAACGGCTTGAGGACAGTAAGTTCTCCAAAATAGCCACAAATGGCGTACACCATTTTTTATGACATCCAAGTGCAATAAAGCAATATGGAACTGCTATTACAGACCTAGTTACTCTTACCTACATTATGTGTGTTTGTTTCGCTCCGTTTCTCTAAAATAGGAGAACTGTTCTTTCAGTATTACCTACTAGAAAATTTTCCAGTGCACCTACCATTACATGGACAATTTTGTCATTTTATGCGTCTAGGCAGAATTTCTTAAGAAAACAAACGTTGAGTAAGGCGTGCACTAAATTATACTTTCTATGGCGTATGGTAAACAGTTTAATTTAGCTTTTCAAATCATATCGTTAGAAGACCATGAAAGTATCATTAATGAAAGAGTCAAAATAGCTATTTTACCAACTTTCAAATGTGTCTTCATTGGACTAATTGGTATAATTTAGTTTTGATTAGCAGTATGCGTTGAATGAATGGTCGCAATCATGAATTCATGACTTGATTTGAACTAGGCGTCGTAACACGTTAAACGCCATGGCAGTCACCGGTGACCGACATTAGCGGAGGATTTGCCTTCAACAGTTTTTTATTGGCAGCCAATGCCTTAAAAGAAGATTGTTAACAGATTTTAATATTGAATTTTGATAGATGTGGTTTCTGGAAACAGAGTTTGGAATAAAATGCCCTCTATTCCGTAGCACAAAACTGGTAAAATCTACATATGAACATTACATAGTTACACACTGAACTTGTATTAATACGATTTCTTCGAATAAATATAAACCTTGACCGATTTTAGGGTAATTTCTAAGGATTTATTTACCTTTAAGGTAAATCATGTGTAACAACAAATAATTAATTAAATAAATAGTATTTTATTCCGTGTCTGTGTATTTCACTAAGGATGAGTAAGTAGGTATACAAAATGAGTATTTTGGTTTTTCCTCGGACATTATTCTGACGAAATAAGCGATATTATGGTTAGGTAAGTACATCCAAGGGTAAACAATAAACATGCATATGATTAATTGTCCCAATAAGCATATCATTTTGTGAAATAACTATAGGTACCTATGTTGTTAATTTTGTTTTGATGTTGTTTTGCCGTGTGGCGACGGTAAAACAGGATTAAATTAAGTCATCTGGCTGAGCAATACTCTTTCATAGACTTTAATATAATTACTAATTAAACTGCTATTACTGCCTAAGTGCTTACGTGCCTGTCAAATCCCTTTAGTGACAACGGTAGTTAGTGATGAATAGGAGACCAGAAAATTGAGGTATTTTTTTAATGGGACAAGCCCGCCACAGCCTCCCAAAACCGCTGCAACTCCTGTAAGCCAGAATCTACAGTAGATACAACCATGAAAACACCGGAACACTGAAGTCCGGCGCGACCCAGGGACATGAAGAACTGTCTTGGTTCCCGCAACTTAATTGAGGTATAGGAGTGAACATTTTGGAAGAATCGGAATATGTGCTGGATGACTGATGACGTTCGAATGAAAAAAGAAGATGATTGCGTTGTTACCCTGCAACCCTACAGGTAAAAGATTGGCGCCAAAAAACAAATATGGCCGCTGCATTTTCCGTGTAAGTATCTATCAAGGAGATTAAATAAAAATAAGTTTTTATTTATTTAAGAATTATAACATCCTTCCTATACGTCATGCAGTAAGTGTGAATCATTTGTGTGTACATACATTCGTGTTATCACTTATTATCACTGACGCCGATAGCGTAAAATTAGATAGAAACATGTGAATGGTTTACTATTGATTTCCTACCTTTTCCTTAACATCTTGGTTTTTAAAACATTATTCGTGAAATATCGGTGTATCTGGAGGCCTTTGTTGAGGGTAATAAAACATGATCATAGCTAACTATTTCATTAATTAATCCACTACTTGGGATAGGTTTTGTGTTGTTACTAGACGACATCATTACTCCGAAAATTAAATTATTATGTTTTCGGCTTACTCACGTAATAATTTGACGAGGAATTCGTCGGCGACGGCGTCTGTCGCGTTTGTCGCCGCGTCGCGGGTCGCGAAATGCTGCTCATGAATATGAGCCTCTAGCATGGCTTGAAACTAGTCGAGTTCCTCGTCAAATTATTACATGAGTAAGCCGAAAACATAATAATTTATTTAGTATGTCTCACGAAAATTACAATACAAAAATACTCCGAAAATTATCTATAGCAACACAGTGTCTGAAATGGTAACCGTTTATGGTAATGGGTCCGCCCCTATGACATGAGACAATAATAGTAAATGGTAGAGAGTAGGTTTTATAATTTGCAACTCTGTTTTCTCGGTTTCTCGGTGCAGGTGTATATAGCAATTTTTTTGTATAATATAGAAGGCACACGATAGGAGGCGCGGTAGATAACTAATAAGTGTTGCAAAAGCACCCAACCTACCAAGTGATTTACAAATGCATTGCTGGCTTTTTAATACGATAGTTCATTATATTTTATTATAATTAAACTGTTAGGGACATTCTGATTGTGATACATTTCTTATAAGTAGAATACACGTCAAATTATCCGACAGGTACACAATCAAAAATGATTGATAATGATTTTCAGAAATGAATGTTTTGTTCATCTCTGTGTTTCAGAAAGGGGATGTAAGTATTAGCACTAAAAAAGGAGTAAAAATTACGCTCTTTTCTTTTCTGATTGCGCTATGAAAAAGTTTGTAGTTAATCGCCATTTCGCCTCATTTTATGCAATGACTAAATCATGACTGATTGCACTTTTATTTGGTAGGCCTAATGATGTATTACACTGAGCGGAAACTGGATACCGGTCTAGAGGACATGTCGTAAGCATAATTGATATCTGGACAATCATTAGGCCTTTATGACACAGTCTATTGACGACTTTCCGAAATACACTATGTTTTTAGGGTACATACAAAAAGGGTTAAAAAAACGGTAACAAAATGGTCTAAAGACGTTTGATTTGACCACCACAGATGGGGCCCAGTAGGGCTGATGCCTGATACGGAATCGCGGAAGGCCTAACGGGCTCCGACTCGAAGTGCAGGAGTAGGAACGGGGTGGTTTTTAGTCAGTAAGAGTCTGACACTCCCTCTCGCCTAATCTAAACCAGGATTCCCCCTCAAGATGTTTGGTTTTGCTTTCATATAAGAATCTTATAAGAGTTAACAGAATTATATCTATGCAAATAACTATTGTAAATAGTTAAATGCAAACTAATTTTTCTATTAAAAAAAGTGGAATTTCCAATTGTACACTTTTACCTTCATCGTACACTATCGTGAATAAAAGCGCAATGCAACACGGTAAGTTACAAAAAATAGGTATAACTTACTCCTCCCTCCCTAATTACATAGAAATTATAATAAAATTATAACTAATTATTGTCCTCTTAAATTCTAATTAACTAATTATACACTAATAATGAAAGGTAACTCACGTTTAATCGGCAGTTGTCGTGGACTCAAAGGAGGTCTATCATCCAAAACTCCTTCCTCCTTAGTCAAACTGTTAGTGTTGTACTTCTTGACACTCTCAGCCCAGTCCTGAATCCATGTCTTATCTCCCTTGCATCTGTTCAGGCTCAAATAGGACAGTTTCCCTACCACCTGCTCCGGAGACATGTCCGAGGATATTGCACTAATACCACACTCTTCCCTCAAAGCTTTCTGAGCATTTTTCAATGCTGTGCTCTCAAATTTAGGCTCCTCCAACCCTAACTTAGTACTTGGTAAAGACACCGGCACTGAAGACTCTCTAGACAACCGATGAACGTAATCTGTTTGGTCTATCTCTGACTTCGTTAGGCTACACCTACGTAGCACAGGCTCTAACTTAGGAGGGATTCGAGAACTCAAAACTCCGGATGTAGTAACCGAAGTGAAACTACCAATGTCAGCATCATCATGCTTCGGTGGAGACTTCGCAAAAGTCTTCTCAGTGATTGTTCTAACTCTATTCTTTATCTTTTCTAAGTAACTCCGTGTAGATTTAATCTGCTTTGATGTCTGTGCTGCTAAATCATTTTCTGTTGGTGATTCGTAACAGCATGAAATCTCTAACACATTTTTATCTTTAGATATTTTGGGAATTTCAAATGATTGATTGAGTAATGGACTACGGAGTGCTATGTCTCTTCGAGGTTCTTTTGTTATCACTCTTTGAGGGTTTGGGAAGTCGAAAACTAGTTCAGGATCTGTCTCACTGCCTTTTTTTGAAAGGGGTTCGTCAACCACATGAGGTATTGAAGTACCGAAGGTTCTGTCAATGCTCATCCTAGCTTTCTGTTCCTCTGTATAATTATCTCCCTCAATAGTATAAGTACCTGTTGAAGAGTTATCAGACTGTGCATCCACATCATCATCGATGTACAATGGTTCTTTGGCAATGCATTTCTTGAATAAATCTGGAGTTTCTGAAGATGCTCTGCTTTTGCGTATTAGTGGACTCTTGGAGTGTTCAGGAGTAGACAAACCATTATCTGGTGTTAAGATATCTAGCTCAGGACTTGATATATCAGTCAACATGAGTCCCTCAGGGCTCTGGTCTATTATGTCACCCATAACATGCCTGTTGATGTTACCATAACTTGGTGTTCTGTGTACCTGATCTCTTGTGTAAGAGTTTCCCTTCAAAGGCAAGTTCAGACCCTGCCGTGAAGTAAAGTTATCACTCCTAGACATAATACTATCAACTATAGGACTTTTGGACGTGCGTTTTGGCAGGACAGTGTCAGTAACAGGGGATTTAATATGTCTATTTGTATTAGGACTTGTTATGTGCGTAACATTTTGTGCTAATGGACTGTTTCGTAGTTTCACTGACCCTGACAGGCCACTGTCCTCCTGGTCTGAGGAGAAGTAACCTTCAGAGTTGTAGCCTTGGGCTTTGCGGGGGAGTTTGGCGCTCATGGGAGGACGCTGTAGGGCTGGACTGGGCCTAGTGAGACTTGCCGACATCGACTGGACTCTCTGATGGCGAGCCTGCGATTTCTTCGCCAGCTCTTCCAGTTTCCTTTTGTCAACAGGCTTCGTCCCACCAAAGTCGATGGTAAAGGCCATCGGATGTGGTTTCGGAGTACTCGGCTCGGATTTCTCATCTTGACAAGGCTCCTCGTCGATCTTCAGACTGTCTGACGATGACTTGGAGATCGTCGCGTCCTGCCCGTCCGACAGGGGGCTCGACACGTCCCCCTCAACACTAACACTCATGTTTTCAAGGTATCACGCAGAATAAAAGTGACATCATATTCACAATTCGACCTAAGTACAGCCTTCACACATCACTTTAGAAACCAAACATCAAGGTAATCACACCACACAGCATTGAATTTTGAAATGATAAAAGATTACTTTCGAAAAGTGGAACGAGAGCGCAAAAACTAAAAAAGTATGAGCTCCACCTACAACATTCGCGAGCACATAATACGAACTATGAACGCGAAAGGCTCCGAATTTCTCACAAATAATGACAGACGTGACAGGTGCTAGTGACGTCCGACACAACACTGCGATTGGTAATTGATTGTTTTATTGATTTGGCAACACAAAGACATTGTGCAAGATCACTGACCTTATTTGGCCAAGTCCTGTCACACATTTCAAAGTAATAAAAACCAAAATAAAATTTCACAAAGATTTACCTATAAGAATATTCTCACCTTTGTTTCTATCTCTCTTAATTTTGAAATACTATTTATATATTCATTCGATCATTAATTTTTCTAATGGGAACAGAATACTTGAACGCAGCTTTTTATTTTTTCTGGAAATCAACACTGAAATTCTAATGTCAAATTTTTAGAATTTCCGTTTTGTTATACGTTATACCCAACGTTGATATTATTTTTATAAATAATTTTAATAAACATTGCTTTAAAAATTTTTAAAATCATAAATACTCTTTTTTAAAAACCATATAAATATTTCAATATTTATTATACACACTAACCACATGTGTTTTTTTCATGAAGAACTTTTAAACCCTCACGTGGTAACAATAAAACGCTGTCAGCTGCGAAACCGAATGTCTGATTGTCTGATCTTAGTGCCTGTCAGTGTCAGTCAGCTGTCAGTCAGTTCAGTTGATATCTGTCAGTAAGGGATGAACCATGGCAGAGGCGGCGTTTTCCGTAGATGGAAAATATTATTCTGCCATTACCCAGGATGGTAGACTGAGAATATGGGACACAGAAACCAATGTCCTGAAACAGGAGTACACACCAGACTTACATTTAACCTCGCCGCCTTCTTGTTTGCAATGGATATCGGCAACTCAGTCAGCGGTACGTACCAACACGTGGTTTTTATATATTACTGCAAATACAAACTTTTTCCGCGGCGTACCCTGTGATTATAACCTCTGTTTTAATCAATATTTATTGTGAAATTGGTGATACGAATATAGTTTTCAGTGTACAAGTAATAAAATAACTGTTTTGCCTTATCAACTACTGAAATTCTTTTATTCACACGAGTTTGATTGGCTTTGTTTACTATGACTTTTTTGGGATACCCTAAACTTAGATTTGAGACACAGAAACCAATTATGGAATGGTTTTGTCAAGTTAATAACTTACAATTAAAAGTAAATATAACCTCAATTTACTATAATGTTGGTTATGTTTAGTGTTGTGGTAGCCTTGACAACTCATTCTTTTATGTATTTGAGGTCGCCCAAATATTGCGCAGTATACAAATACAGTTAGAGACAAGATATTTATAATCATCCAAATGGAGTTTATAATAATATCAAACAATTCAGCTCTTGTTTGTATTCGTAAAATAATCTCCTGAACTGCTGATCCGATTTTATTTTTCCATACATCTGAAAGCTCATTATAAGAGAGTAGCTTCAATATTAATATATTGAGTTTCATTTATTCATCTAAATGTTATTATTTTCAGAATACTCAAAAAGGCGGAAGACGCAAAAGTATATCAGAGGAAACGCACCACGTAGCACTTGGTACAACAAGCGGAAAGATTTTAATATATTCAGTCTCACAAGCAAAAGTTGAAACAGTTTTATCAAATGAGAATTCACACAGTTCGATTACTTCGTTAGATTGGCACTCGAAATACGGATTGTACAGTTGTAGTAAAGAGAATAATGTGTGCGAGTGGGACTTACAGAGTTCATTAATTAGATATAAGTATAATGTTAGCGTTGAGAGTAAGAATAAACATGGAAATATACGAGCTATTAAAATTGTACCACATAAACAGGTGAGCCTTTTTTTGTAATCTAGCAATACTTAAGATTTGTAAGTTTTTCTTTATGAAGCTTTGTGTGTGTTTATTCAATACTATGTGGTTCACTACTATTCGTTACTACTCATTACTATTAACTACTTACTTGCTTTGCAATTGAAATACTTGACTTTTCTATACACAGTATGCAGTGTACAGTATGTAGTGTACAGTATATAGTTTACAGTATGCAGTGTACAGTATATAGTTTACAATATGCAGTGTACAGTATGTAGTGTACAGTATGCAGTGTACAGTATATAGTTTACAGTATGCAGTGTACAGTATATAGTTTACAGTATGCAGTGTACAGTATAGTTTACAGTGTACAGTACAGTATATCACTTAAAACATAATAACACTTTTGCATATGAAATTCATAGAAAATTATTTAAATTATTGATTTTGGCATTTTGACAAAATTTATTGAATTTGAATTGTTGGAAACTAATTGTTGGGAAACTGAACTAGACGTTTCTAGACTAGTAATGCACATTTCCTTTGGTTTATTAGAAAATGATACTACTATATGTTCTTGCTTTTAATTTATATAAACGCTTCTCTATTTTATCAGTCCACAGCAGCCAGATATTTGGTGGCAGCTTCATACCAAGTTAAACTGTGGCGGCTACACGATGGAGAGGCGACCATCATCAAGAACTTAGGCCATAATGCTGCACCTACTGCCTTGCTGTCTATAGCCACATTGAATGATGTCTGCTGGCTTATTGAGGGGTCACAGTGAGTATATTTATTTCAAAAATTATTATGTTTTCGGCTTACTCACGTAATTATTTGACGAGGAACTCTGCTAGTTTTAAGCCATGCTAGAGGCTGATATTCATGAGCAGTATTTCGCGACCTGCGACGCGGCGACTGTCGCGCTGCTACTGAGTAAGCCGGAAACATAATAATTTATTTAGTACTAGCGACCCGCCCCGGCTTCGCACGGGTGCAATATGTATAAACATACAAACCTTCCTTAAGAATCACTCTATCTATTAAAAAAACCGGATCAAAATCCGTTGCGTAGTTTTAAAGATCTAAGCATACATACGGACATACAGCGAAAGCGACTTTGTTTTATACTATGTATTGATGTCTCACTAAAGTACACATATATTTATTACATATATTTATTTATTTAATTCATTTAAATTTAATCAAATTACAAGAAATGTATTGGCAGTTGTTTTTTACTTCAAAAGTCAGTCGTCTTTTATCTAAGAAACTATATTACTGTTTTGTAAACAAACAAATGCCCAAGATCATAATGACTTTCACATTTTCTAGGTGTTGAAGTATTACTAAACTTAATCCAAAAAGCAAACATTTATAAAGTCAAAGTCAAAATCATTTATTTCAATTAGACCAGGAAGGAATGGAATCCAAACTTTACAGATATTAAGATTATATTATTTATTTATTATACATATTTTTTGTTTAATTTGAAAAGGTGGTAAGGATAACCTTATAAAGAATTATAAAATTCTATTCTATAAAATACTCATTCCTTCAAACAAAATGAGGGCAAACACTTTTGAACGTCAAAAACAAAATATTTTAATGTTTTTTTTTTATAAAAACCTTGCCCCGCACTAGGATTTTCTCCTGTGTCGTGGGTGCGTTTACAAACATACAATATCACATACACATGACACCCAGACCCGAAACAACAATCTGTAGATCACACAAAGAGTTGTTCCGTGCGGGAATCGAACCCGCGACACGTTGCGCGGCAGCCAGTTGCCCAGCCACCGCGCCAACAGTGCAGTCAATATTAAATAATAAGAAAAAATGTCAGTCTGTAGGTCAGTCCTCTAGTGAAGCTATTTAAAATAAAACCTATGTTAAAAAAGAGTACACATATTTTTTTATAATAACTATAGTGAGACCTACTAAATTAACTAAAAATCGCGGGTTTTCAGTTAATTGAAAAGTATTTTGTTATTAACCTTTGACTGTAGAGAGAAATTCGTCGAAAGCGTGTCCCTCACTAGCGCCGATCTCCTTTAACCCCACGGTGTTTTACTTTAGAAAAAAATCCAATTAATTTACATCCTTATGTTATAACTTTCGTGAGACATACTAAAAATTGGGTAGTTGCCAGGGTATCAAAATTAAAATTCTAATTAGTCCGTTGTGTTAGATAATGAAAAAATATTAGACACGTATTTTTTTATGCTATGATAAAATCGCGCTAAGTTTAGGAGTGGGTCGTTACGTCATAACGTGCTACAAAATGTGACACGCTGTGACGTCACACGATATTTCAAATTAATATATCGTCAAAAGTATTTAATTTTGTGAGAAAAGAAAAAATACGTGTCTAAAGTTTTAAATTAATGTACCTACCAGACGAATATTAAAATAAAATTTATGAAACTACCCTATTACTATGTTTTACGACTTACTCACGACTCGACTATTTCACATCCAATTACTTTACAGGAACGAGCGACTCCTATCATTCTGGGACGTAACAATAACAGATGAACACGTACCACAAATGAACGGAGATGAGACCCCACACAAGAAGCAGAGAAGGAAATCTATCTCCAAAGCCCCTACCACTACTGCCACACCCACTTACAATTTTGTGCTTGAAGATGCACCTCGGCTGGTTGATGTGGAACTTAAGAATGAGGATGGGGCCACCCGGTTGAGCTTGGCCGCTGCAACTCGGAGTGGAGTCGTACATTATTATGGACTTATGTTGAATGGGTGAGTTTGTTTTATTTTTCTGTTGTGGTAGAGATTATAAGAGATTATTTGTGTTTATGGTTATTAATTTGTATTACAAATTGCTCAAGAAGTTTCTTGTAATGCGTAATGGATAGGCTTATGTCCAGTGTTTACTCTCTATTTTAAACTGTCAAACACCAAGCGGTCACCGGTGACCGCAATCTATTGTTCTATAATGACGGTACTCGACGAGTTAAACTAATTGTAGCAATTATATCTGTTGTTTATTTCCCCAAATGCCTTTATGGCCGAGTGGTCGCAAGTGCGACTGCCAGGGTTCGATTCCCGGGTCAAGCAAAATGTTAAAAGTTTGGCAATGTGCCTGGTATATGGTAATAGGCTCACCCTCTATTACATGGAACTGATAACATAAATAGTCAAAAGTGGGTGTTGTCTCTGTGTACACCTCTGCCTACTCCTTCGGGTATAAAAGATATGATGTTATGATGATGTTTATTACAAAATTGTGGAATGGTATTTTTGTAAATTCGTCCTCATTACATGAATTTACACTGTTTAAAGTTCTGTGCACTATACAACATCTTACCAACACACAACATACATACATACATGCGTAACTCCACGCCTGTCTCTAATGGGGGTAGGCAGGCAGAGACTAGGGAAAGCCAATTACTATAATTCCTACATACCTCTTTCGCTTCATCAACAGTCATCAACACACAACACTATTGCCGGAATACTGAAACGTTACTCAATTTTAAGTCGTGCTCAAATATCGTGCCATCTCTGTCATTTTACAAAGAATTTGTAGAGATAAAACTATACTTAAGCACGACTTAAATTGAGTAGCGTTTCAGTATTCCGACATATGAGTTATAAGCGATATTATGAATTTTGTAATACAAAACAAACATTTGACAAACACATAAAAAATAATATTCTATGTATCCTCCAGGTCATCTACAAAACCCATCAAACCGTCGGTAACGATACAGGTGACGAGCGCGGACGCTCGCCCGCTGCCGCTGCAGTGCTGCCGGCTGCCTCCGTCCGGAGACGTCCTGCTCGGCTACTGGAACGGACCGGTCATGACTTTTGAGAGAGTGGTACGTAATAACATTTGTTTTATTTTTCTGTTTTCTTTAATTTTGTTGTGGAATCAAATGGGAAGGTATCGAACTTGTGATTGGTGTAATGGATTAAGTTTTCCAATAATAACAATTTTTTTTATGTTTTTTTTTTCTAAACGTTCGTATACACATGACATCCAGACCCAGAACAACGATCTGTGAATCACACAAAGAGTTGTTTCGTACGGGAATCGAACCCGCGACACGTTGCTCGGCGGCCAGTTGCCCAGCCACCGCGCCAGCCGTGCAGTCGTATTATTAAAACACAATAACAAACGTTGGGATTATACGTTAAAAAATAAAATAAAAATAATGTCGTCATTTATTTTCTACAACGTCTTTATTATTTATTTCAGATACCAGATTTAAAAACAAAAACTCAAATATTGATCCGAGGCGAGAAGGAATCAAAAAAGAAAGGGAAGCAGGATGGGAAGAAAGTTCGGGAGAATGAAACGTCCCAGGTTACATACGTCGAGCCACTGGGAGGCGTCGCTAGGAAACGAGCCACGCCGGGGGATAAGGTTAGTTTAAAGTTGCAGTATTACTTTAGATTTATTTATTTATGGTACAAGCCGGTAAACTAGCAGACGGATCACCTGATGGTAAGCAATCGGTGCCGCCCATGGACACTCGAAACACTAGAGGCGTTACCGGCCTTTTGGGGTTTAGGAGTTTGAGGATTGTTGGGGATTCAGAGATTGGGGAGATTGGGAAATGGGGGGGGGGGGTAATTAGGCCTTCGGTAACCTCACTCACACGACGAAACACAACTTTGTTTCACGTCGGTTTTCTGTTTGGCCGTGTTATCACTCCGGTCCGGACCTTTCGTGCCGAAGCATGGCTCTTCCACACTTAAAAACTTAGATTCTGACGACCTCAGTGATTTTTTTCTCCAGAATAATACATAAATATTAACACGCCTTTTCCCGAAGGGGTAGGCGGAGAAACACATTACGGCACTTATGCCACTGTTCAATGTAACACCCACTTTTCACTATTAAGTTATAAGTCCCGTCCCATGTAAAGAGAGTGCTTAAAGAAATAAAAATTTTGACCAATCCATTAACGATACAGTTATTATTTTTTTAATAATTCCAGGTGGAAGTACCGATGGAGGCCAGACTGGCGAACCTGGCGCTGGACGTGAAGGGTCGCAGTAAGTCTGCCGTCAGTCAGAACCTCACCAAACTACTGATGCAGGGACTACACTCCAAGGATAAAGGGTAAGCAGAAGCACCCACATACCCCAAAGATATGGCTTTTGTCCAGCAATGGACGTCTCCCGACTGGTGATGATGAGTATGACAAGCACTATGGATTATAAGACCACAGACGATTAAAAAGTCACTTTTATATTATACTAGTTTTTACCCGCGGCTTCACTCGCGTCACAAAAGGATAAAAAGTAGCCTATGTGACATATACCAATACATACAGCGCCATCTATACCAATACTTTTGTTTTCCCTCGGGAATATCAATTTGACTGCACGGTTGGTGCGGTGGCTGGGCAACCGGCTGCCGTGCAACGTGTCGCGGGTTCGATTCCCGTACGGAACAACACTTTGTGTGATCCACAGATTGTTGTTCCTGGTCTGGGTGTGATATGTATGTGAACTTGTATGTTTGTAAACGCACACACGACACAGGAGAAAATCCTATCCTAGTGTGGGGCAAAGTTTTTAAAAAAAAATATTTTAGCTGTTTTCAACATTTGTCTTTTTCATCATCAACAGCCTATAAATGCCCACTGCTGAGCAAAGCCTCTTCTCACACGGAGAAGGTTTGAGCATTAATCACCACGCTTACTCAATGCGGGTTGGCGATTTCAAACTTATAATATGACATTATAATTATATAAATATAGAAATTATAAGCCCAGGTTTCCTCACGATGTTTTCTTTCACCGTTTGTGGTGTCTAAATAATCTTAGAAAGTACATATAACTCGGAAAAAGTCACATTGGTACTTGCCATTGGTAGGTTTCCGCCACCCTCATGCATGAGAAGCTCCGGGCCACCACGACCTTGTATTTTTACGAACACACATAAAATCGATATTATTGTTATATTAAATTCAATGCAATATAAATAACAACATGTCGTTTTTCCAGTATAATCCTGACAGTGCTGCAGAAGGACGACCCGGCGGTGGCGCTGCGTACAGTGAGCAAGTTGCCGGCCGACTACGTGCCGCAACTACTGGAACAACTCGCTGACATGGCCACCAGGAAGACTAGCCAGTTAGTATAAGTCAAAGCATTCATTTCACTTTTGAAACGTTAACAAATACAATAATAAGGAGAAGGAATAGTCTAACAATCAGTCCGAGTGAAGCTAGGTGAAGCTAGGTGCTCATTCCAAAATGTAGATTCCAATGGAGAAGAACGAGCAAGAAACTCCATTCGTTACTCTTTAAAAAAAAGTATGTTCTACAATGTCTCTGATACATATTCGACACGCTTGGCGCATTATACAAATTATATAAATTACTAAAATAAAAACAGATATAAAAAAAATGTTATAGTGGTAAACATGGTGCTCACATATGCATACTGACAATCAGTGTTGGGCAAAATTTAGTCAACTAATGATTGATGACTAATGATTGAATGTGTTAGTTATGATTGATGACTAATGATTATTTAGTTTAATCACGAGGTGATGACTAACGATTGATTAGTTTTAATCTTAATCAAATAATCATGATTATTTATTTATGATTGATATTTTAATACGAGGTAAGGTAAAATATTTTTTCTGCTTCTTAAAAAAATACTGAATTGGACACAAAACGTTACTGTAGGTTAGGTTAGACTTTAGTGTTTTAGTTTAAAATTCAGTATTTTTTGGTGGTCAGATAAATAGATGCCCTGGTAAAATCTTATGATACGGAGAAATGGTTTTCAGTATAACGGGGTTTTTTGTAACACCTTCTATAACTTTAGTAGTTTTTAGGGTCCCGTACTCATCTGACTGTAATTTGTTACTTGTTTTTCGAAAAGTAAATGATGTCATCGTATTGCTTTAACGATTATAAGACTAACTAAATTACACTTGTATTATTTTATTTATTTATTAATCATCTCAGTGTAACTGTATTGAACTTATAAACACAAATAATATATTTAAGAAAGCTATATAATATAGGGTGTAAAGGATGGCTTACCAAAGTAAAACCATGGACTCAGATCATCATCCTAAGTAACGAACCGAAGGAATTTTTTCTCGGAAAAGAAAAAATTTTGGCCTTTCTATACATTATATTCTATTAGCAGCCGACTTTAATATTTTGTATGCAGAGTCAAAATTTTTTTTCATTTCCGTACCTAATTCCTTCAGTACTTTACTCAAGATAATGGTCTGAGACTTCGTATCGACCCTGTATGTGTAGTGTACCAACACCTGTGCATCGAGCTTAGTCATACATTCATGATTAAAACTAATGATTGGTGATTTGCGATTAACGAATTTAGTCATGACTAAATTAATCATGATTAGATCAATCATGATTGATCAATTGATTGAATAAATTAGTTGATTTGCCCAACACTGCTGACAATCTATAAAAATAGTGCTTCTATACAAGAAAACGGAAACTCTTTGTTTCAATAAAGAAAGAAATGCTCGATGTCATAAGGAAACTAGTTAAGGGAACTATAACTATACACGTACGTACATACCATATTAATGGCATAGTATATAGTTTTTATTATCAATCTTTTACTTTTTAGACCGAAACGGTAGACTACAGATACAGATAGGCATTTATCCGAATCAATTTATCCAAAAGACTTTCAATTTATTTGATACTAGCTTTTACCCGCGGCTTCGCTCGCGTCACAAAACGATAAAAAGTAGCTTATATGACATATACCAATACACACAGCGCCATCTATACAAAAAATTTCGTTTTCCCTCGAGAATATCAAATTTTTCCGAGATAAAAAGTACCCTATTATTTAATCCAGACTTCTAACTGTACATCTGCAAAAATTCAAAGCAATCGGTTTAGTAGTTACGGCGTGAAAGCGGAACAAACAAACAAACTCACTTTCCGATTTATAATATTAGTAAGGATAAGTTTGAACTCAGACTTACCACTAAAAGGCTGATTACCGGTGCCAGTACCCTATGTTATTTGTGATAACATGCATTGATTGTTCAGTTTTTCGCGGGTGATAAAACTGTGATGCCACGTTGTTTTACAGAGTACGGTAAATAATATACCGTCGGTGCGCCTGCCAAAACTGATATGTGCAAATATTTCGTTTTTTTTTCTTAGCTATCTGTCCTTCAAATCGGATAGCGCATCGATTACAAAAACAAATATGTGTTATTTCCCTCTAGAAACCGATTAGACCAATCTTATATGTGCACTTTCTGGCCATGACAAATTGGTTATGTGTTCGATTAGTTACGGTTATGTGACATAAAACGCACATGTCAGAAGTTGCAGCATCACATAGATAGTTTGGCAGATTGAATATCAACAGTTTTTGTTTAAAATTTTTACCGTTTTCTAAGATAAATCTGATATGTGCACCAAAATGGGAAAATAAAATTATTGGGGATGAATAGTACATGTTATCATTTTCACTTTTATCTCAGTTATTTTTATCATAATTTTTACCATCATACTGCATTTTTAATTTATTGCTAAGTCGATCAACTTTTGCAAGTGCAAGTGTAAAAAATAGTTTATTGTCTCCTCCTGAAAACTTGACTAAATGCACATAACAGTTTTGGCAAGCGCACCGACGATACAGAGACTTTTTTCGCCGTCATATATCGAACTCATTATGTATTTGCTTACAGATGCGCGTCAGTATGTACGTGGCTGTCGGCCGTGGTGCGATGTCACTCGGCTCTATTGCTGGCCACGATGGGGTCCCGGGCCTCAGACCATCTCACGCAACTCCTCGCTATATTCACGAACCGGTAAGATACCTTTCTTTTATGGCATTAGCCGGTAAACGAGCAGACGGATCACCTGATCGGCGTCGCCCATGGACACCTGGAACATCAGAGGCGTTGCAAGTGCGTTACCGGTATTTTGGGGATTAGGAGTTTGAGGATCGTTGGGGATTCAGGGATTGGGGAGATTGGGGAAGGGGAGGGTAATTGGGCCTCCGGTAACCTCACTCACACGACGAAACGCAACGCAATCGTTGCTTCACGCCGGTTTTCTGTGAGGCCGTGGTATCACTCCGGTCGAGCCGGCCCATTCGTGCCGAAGCATGGCTCTCCCACACTTACCTACCTTATCTATTATATATTATATAATAATAAAATCGTAGGAAAGCTAAAACTGTACATTGCATACCTGTAGATACACACGGTACATCTACAAGCGATACCGAAGCTAAAAATATGTTTTTAGAATTTTTGTCTGTTTGTCTGTATGTATGTCCGGGCTAAACTCAAAAAGTACTACATCGATTTACATCAAATTTTGCATGAATATTAATAATAGGTCGGGTCTACATAATATGCTACATGTTACATGTTTTTAAGGGGGGAAAATCATCGAATGACTGCCCCCGCCTGGGTGAGGCGGGAGGGAGTGTCAGACTCTTACTGACTAAAAACCACCCCGTTCCTTCTCCTGCACGTCGAGCCGGAGCCCCGGTTACCCGTTAGGTTCTCCGCGGCTCCGAATCGGCATCGGCCCTATTGGGCCCCATCTGTGGTGGTCTGATGGCTCTTTGAGGCGCGCGCGGAACGCGACGCGCCGTACGCTCGGGTCTGTTTCTGGTCGGACGGGGAGCCACCCATGCTCGCCGTCCGCAGGCCCGCGCTTACGGTGGCCGGAGATCGTCCCGCGATCCCCGACGCCCGGTGTGTCCTTCGCGATGGCTGGGTTGCGAGGAGGCAGCGCTTCGCTGCCTCACGCGTCCCGCCTCCTCCTTAGCTAGCATGACTGCTTCGCAAAAGGAGGAGACGGCATCCCAATCCCCCTCGCTCCGCATCATGGCCTGCACTAGGCCCGGACGCGAGAGGTCGCCATCGCCGATCACTTCCCTGAGGACACGGCGGTGCTCAGCCCACGAAGGGCATTCTCCCACCGTGTGTTCCACCGTGTCCTCAGGGCGGTCCTCGCAGTGATGACACCCGGGCGTTTCCTCCCGCCCCATCAGACACAGGTACCTCCCGAAACTTCCATGTCCGGTGAGGACCTGCGTCAGGCGGTAGGTGAGGACGCCGTAGCGTCTCTCAAGCCACTCCTCAAAGAGGGGACTTACCGCTGCGATGGCAGCGAGCCCAATGTTATCACGCTATCACCTACGGGGGAAAAGCTGAGGAAAGTTATAAGCTATAAAACATCACGCTACGACCAATACAAGCCGAGCAGAGTGGGCGAAACCGCGCGGAAATGGCTAGTTTTATAATATAAACTAATGCTAACAAATGCTAGCGACTTCGGTCGCGTGAAATTGTGATTCACAGCTCCTCCCCTATAAATGATAGCGTATATAAAAAATAAACTTTATTTTTAATGTCCGTACTTTCGACGATATATTAATTTGAAATATTGACGTCATGATTTACTACATTTTAGAGGGTAGCGTGACGTAAAGACCTCCCACTCCTAAACTGTGCCGACGTTTGACCACTTTCTAGTCTCGTTTTATCTAAATATTGTTTTCATAAACGACAAAATAAAAAAAGACATAATAATATGCCTAATATTTTTCATTATTTATCTAACTGACGGACTAATTACAAATTTAATTTTCATACACTATCTACTACCCTATTGAAACAGTTTTCTATCAATTATTATATAAAACGTAACATAATTTTGTCACTCCCTGTACAGACGGTCACATCTATGCCAGTTACTGAACCTGAAGGGTCGACTAGACCTCACGATATCACAGCGCAGCGCCTCCGACATCGCGCAGGAAGAACAGGAACCCGTACTCAATTATAATGGTAAGTTCAACTTAGTAAAAAAAATCTGAACTAATAACTAGATACTATTAAACTAGATACTATTAAACTAGATATTTGACTGCACGGTTGGCGCGCAACGTGTCGCCTGTTCGATTCCCGCACGGAACAACTTTGTGTGATCCACAGATTGTTGTTCCGGGTCTGGGTGTCATGTGTATGTGAACTTGTATGTTTGTAAACGCATCCACGACACAGGAGAAAATCCCAGTGTGAGGCAACGATTTTTATAAAAAAAAAACTAACCCTTAGAACAACCTTTGTAACCACTGTCTCACAATAAAGATCTTTGACTTTGACTTTGATCGTGTCAATATTGTGGTATACAAGGTGTACTTTTGAAGGCGTCTCATTTCTCGGGAGCATGTCACAGAAGTCATAAAGGTTCAATGTAAGAGAAAGTTTCGGGCCAATAGTTAGAAATACGGCTATAATAAATCGTTTAAGTTCGACAGTATTTCAGAATAAGCGACAGCAATGTTACGTATTGGAGTTTTATGGAATTAGTAATAATATCAATTACGTGTTTGAGTTTGTGTGTGTTGAGCCGCGTTATAAAGCTAGTTACAAGACGGCGGCGTGTAGTTCGGATTTCCCTAATTTACAGAAAATAGAAAAATATTTAAGTACAATTTTTTTTATTGATTCAGACTCAGAATCGATAGCCGAGTTACCTCCTAGAAAATGACGCGACTTTAAAACAACACCTTGTATAATAATACATACTTTTTTAAAAGAGTAACGAATGCAGTTTCTTGCTCGTTCTTCTCCATTCGAATCTACGTTTTGGAATGAGCACCTAGCTTCACCTAGCTTCACTGACGGACTGACTGACAGACTATTATTTATTTTGTATTTGTTGACGTTTCAAAAGTACCAAACTATGGTTTAATTGAAATAAATGCTTTGACTTTGACTTTGACTTTGACTTTGACTTTGACCATGACTAATAAAGCCCCTTTTTTCTGAATTTTCACATTAATAGTTGTTACTAAAAGGTTACAGTATTCCTTTTCATTCAGTGTGCCTTTTGGAAAAGGCCTCATCTAGGCTCAGCCGCCACCATTGAATTGCCTAGTTACCTAGGTTTAAAATAAATTGTTTCAACTTTTCAATGCAATAAATAACAAAAAAAACAATCATACTCTCATCCATTGATTTGACAATTACTTTTAAATTTTTTCTTGTTAATTAATTTTAAAGAAATAAGTATGCTATTTGACGCAAAAATATGATGTCGTCATAAGTTGCGATCCAATATAAAATTCATAGAAAAATATCGTTTTTAACATTTCAATAAAAAAAAGTATTGAATTTGATTACCTGTCAACTACCGGATTCTGTCGCAGCCTCGCAGGCCACTCTTCTCCAATTAGGGCCGGCTTAGCCTAGCTCCAGGCGTAATTCGTCTTCCCATCTTTTTAACCGTTATCCTCTGCTGGGTTTACCGTCTCTTGGATACCAATCAGTTACTATCATAACA